GAGAGAGAGAGAGAGAGAGAGAGAGAGAGGGAGCAAGGTCTGTCTCTTATACACATCTAGATGTGTATAAGACCAATATTCAAATGCTGCCTTTCTAAGATTACGTGGCGGCGGTCTGATCTGAGGAAAGGCATGGTAGTTTTGAAAGGGGGTGATGTGTTGCTCACCCTATTAAACGGAGTAGTGGAAGACAAGTTGCGGGTCTGAAGACAGCTGCAGGGATTGCAAGGCTGTCAACTGCTTGGCACGCCCCTCGTTATGTCAGCCTGTGCAACAACAGATGAGTCGTGAGGCTGCAGGCTCTTACATAGTGAACAAACTTGGGACTGAGCTTGTTGAAGGAAGGACTTGGCTGCGATTGGGAGAGTTGTCAGGGAGTCTACGGTCGATGTTTTGCTTCAGTTTGACCAAAGCCGCTGTGCACTTTGGCCGCTATTGCGGGGCCCTCAGGCGCATGTAGATTACAAGGCCCTCTCCTGCGAGTCTGAGTGCACCCCTCCTGTATCTCGAGAGTCCGAAACCCCTCTTTTTGCCCTTCTTACTCTCAGTCTAATCCTGGTCACGAGAGGAAGGTGGCAGGCGGGATTGCAACCCGTAAGACCGCAGCAAGACTTTGTGGGGAGTCCACCCACCGATTGCGGGAGCTCTGCCGGAACTCAGGAGGAGTTAAGGAGGCAGGGAACCATCAGGTAAACCATCTCTATCTATATGACCCCGCTAATACCCCTGTTTTGCTTATCTCCCCTGTAGTTTGACTATCGTATGCATGCGTGTCCCTATGATTTTTGCTTTCTCTTCAGGACTTAACCAGACTAAAGGAAAGGAATGTATGAGAGTGAAGCTTAAGTTTCATCTTTATTTTGACTGAAAGCATACTAAGGAATGAACTGGGGGAAGGTGGGAGGAAGGCAGACTGCATGCGTTTGACTGCGTCAACCTAGGACTGAGCATTGTTTCTAAGCTGAATGTCCCAAGGTTGTGTTTATTTGGCTGTTTTCTGAAGGGTCAGACATTGTTTCTAAGCTGAATGGTCTGGTTGCTATGTTTATTTTCTAACGGATTGCCTGATGAGAGGGGTTTTCTTGTTATGTTCTGAGGGAGGATTTTTGTCTAAGGCTCAGCATTGTTTCTAAGCTGAATGGCTTAGCCTGAAAACCACGCACATAAGTACAACCTGAGTATAACATAAAGTATTTTACTTATATTTGCATGTGAACTGGCAGCTGAGCATTGTTTCCAAGCCGAATGGTCCAGCGCTAAGCCATATCACTAAGAAAAGAGGGGAAACTACGAAGTATAATTGGAAATAGCCTGGGCAAGCTGATCATTGTTTCCAAGCCGAATGGTTCAGTCCCCTGCCCATATTTTGCTTTTCTTTTGAGAACAAAGTCAGAAAGTTATTAAACTTTGGATATTAAACAGTTCGGGCGACTGGAATGGTCTAGTCATATGCCCAAAGAAGAGAGAAGTAGTTGTGCAACCTGTTTGTGTACATCTTAAGGCACGCTAGGCATTGTTTCCAAGCCGAATGGTATGGCGTTATGCCATATGTGAGTTGGGTATAAGGGTTGAATTACTTGAAGATTCATGAACTATCTTATGTGAAATAACTTTGGGATGGTGAGAGTACTTACCTTTGTGGTTTGGCCTGCATGTGGCTGAGTGAGATTACTACTTGGTCTGAGCTTCAGTTTGACAGGTAGTTGCTTTGGTTGCTCGCCACGTGTTAGAGTCATAGGAGTTAGTTTCAATTCCGACATTTTTCGAGCTAAGTTTATTTTTTTTTACTTAGGTCAATTTCTGCATTTTCTGGGATCTTTTATTATACTTGGTCTTGTATAAATTTTGGTAAGCCACTTTCTCTACGGGAAGCGCTGCCAAAATTTATACAAAACCAAGGAGTTAGTCAGATTTTGTCTCGTCAAAAGTCCAGTTTGTTTGACTTTTATATATGACTTAGTAAAAATCTGGAGAGTCTTCTTTTCTAAAGGGAGTGCTGCCCAAATTTTTACTAATTCAGGGAGTTAGACAAAATTGGACCATGAGAAGCCAAAATTTTGAACTTAGCGTTGTATAAATTTTGGTAAGCTACTTTCTCTACGGGAAGCGCTGCCGAAATTTCTGCAAATCTAAGAAGTTAGTCAAAACTTTACTTTTCAAAATCCAACCTGTCTGATTTTCATATATGGCTTAGTAAAAATCTGGGAAGTCTCCTTTATTAAAGGGAGTGCTGCCCAAATTTTTGCTAATTCAGGGAGTTAGACAAAATTTGACTTTGGAAAGTTGAAGACTATTTCTGTTTCCGTATTTAGGCTGATATAAATTCTGGAAAGACACTTTTCCTACGGGAAGCGTTGCCGAACTTTTCCTAGTTTAGAGGAGATAAATTATATTTTAACAGGTGGCGACTCTGGCGATCCACTCTTTATGGGGGAGATTCTACCATAGGTCTACCTTTCTTTGGGCACTGGCTTAGAGGTAGACCTAGGTCTGGTTGTCAGGAGAGTCTTGAGTGAGAACGTATCATGGGGATTTGATCTCCATACGTTGACAATTTAGCTTGGACTATGACCTGTCGTATGGTACAGGTCTTCTTTGGACGTTCGATCTAGGATTTGGACTAGCGTCAGCTTGATCCTACAGGGATCATTTTTTGTTATCACTGATAACAGGTCGGTTGGTTGATCGCCGACTTGTCGGCTCACGACACAACTTTGCTTACACCCATACCTCAGCTTGATTGTCTTAGCCCTGTGATTTGATATGTTTCTTTGAGGGTTTTAACCGGACTTCTTTTAAATGACCATTATAAAGAATTTATGAGATTTATGGAAAGTTGAACTATGAGTGGGGCTTGAGTGTGTGAGGCATGATCGGAGTTACAGGGGAAAGTAAAGTTGAACACATTGGTGTATGGCAATGTGGTTTTTGTGTGTGTCTGTGTTTTATGCATGTTAGCATTATGGAGCTTGGTATATGGGCCATACTTTGGAGGAAGTGAAAATGACAACCATATGATGCACGATTTGCATACCTGATGGGTTTATGTTTCCCCCCTTTCTTTTATTGATATCTCGAGTCCTGATTTGATATATGAGTGTTGGGATATTTATTTATTGATTGATTTTGCTTGTTAATTTTTATAGTTGGACGTTGTAGTCCGTGACAACCGTCAAAGTCAAACCCCCTGACTTCTCTCCTGACCCTGGATGATGGAGCTGGTCTCCAAGGCAATAAGAGACGATTGTCACCACAGGTATGAACCTGTGTACCACCCACTCTCGGCAGGGTGCAGAAGAGGGTGTGATTTTCAACCGCACTTGGCGGTTGTCCAGCGTCGAGAAATCATTCCCTCAAGGCGCGTGTCAGCCAACACTTGAGTGTCGAATGCGACCCTCGAGATTAACGAGGACCGCATTAGTATGGGTACTACATAATGCGTCATCATTGCGACTGCTTGTGTAGGCTTGCATTGCGAATCGATATGAGTTAGCCCTGCGTGCGCGCGGTTTTATACTAAGTCTCGCGCGCGACGCCTATCCGATTTCCGCACCGGAAAGTTGTGGGACGGCTACCGAAGGCACTAGGAGTGTTGTCGCGTTGTTTGATGTGTGTGTGTGAACATGGAGTGGCTGGTCCAACGGTGGGACCAAGTGGACAGCGTAATCCTCGTAAGTGAACCGAGGGTGAGCGACATCTGCATTCTCCCCAAATGTGTAGGAGGCCGCTAGCAAGGCGGCCGAATCTGGCGGAGTGAGAGGTGAAGTTGCCTCACCTCCTGCGCAACTCAGTTTCCCGAACTGATTCGAGGTGGAACATCCTCCTTGCCTTGATCTTGGCATTGGGAGGTCTTGTGCTTGGTGCTATTGCACCAGTAGCGGCAACCGTATCGGTTGCGGTACTTGTATTCGGCCTCGGTCAAGTTGAACTTGACCCATGGCACTCGCTGTCCATTTCTTGCCGGCGATGCGGTTTTCGCCTTCCCTTTTCCACGGGAGTTATTGTTGCTTTGCGGCTGGACAGCAGCCACCTGATCTCCCTCACGTGATGCTGGGGTGGCTGTCGGGTCTTCCACAATGCTGTCCGGTTGGACTGCAGCGACGGGCTACGGACGAGGACCAAATTTTCCTCTCTCCACATGGTTTGGCTGCCACGCTGACTTCTCGTGCATAGCAGCCCGGTTGGTCTTGATGATCTCACGCGCCTTGTCAATGATTTCGGCGAACGTCATGTATTGTTCTCGATCACCGAGTGCGAGGCTCAAGGCGGCACACGATTGGTTGTAGAACTCCCGGCGTAGATGCAAAAATGGCAACTCGAGATCGAGTGTTGCCACAATCTTTTGCCATTCTGTGAGCCAATCGCGTGTCGGTGTGTTGCCTTGAGTCAAGGCAAAGCGGCAATTGATGGCGAGCCCCGGGGCGTCGTCCACAATGAACCGCTTCTTCCATTCCTTCGTCATATCGTCCCAGGAGATCTTCTTGTGCAAGTCGGAGACCTGGACACCGTGGATGGTTGCCATGTGGCTGAGCCAGATCTGGCATCCGCCCTTGGCGTTGAGGAGCAGCGCCGAGATGTGCAAGTGAATCTCTGTTGTAAAGCCTTGCCACCAGACAACTGGGTCCTGATCCGTATAGTCGTCAAACGTCTCGATCCGACACGCCGGCATCTTGTACGACTGCGACGCACTGGTGCTGCCATCGTTGTCGACCGGCTGGTGTAGTTGCCGAACCTCGGTCTTCAAGGTGTCGAGCTGCTCGCTGATGGTGGCTGGTACGGCGAAGGTGCTGATGTCGCCGAGCATTGCGACTACATGGTCAACTCGTTGCTCCAGCTGGCGGGTTGAGGCTGCATTGCTAGGTTCGCTAGCATCTGGTCCTAGTGCTGCTTGCTCCAAGTCCTGTACACGGGAATGAAGTGCCCGTGTAGCATCCTCGTGCAGATCCTTGTGGTTCCGCACTGCCCATTGGAGATTCGCCATCTCGGACTGCAGGTGGTTACAAGTGTAAACCAACCGGGTCACGAGTTTGGGGAGAAACTCCTTGTGCTGCTCTTCCAGTGTTGCGTCGCCGTGGCCCTCGCATGGTTCAAAATGCCAGAACTTGAGCCTGTCGACGCTCGCGGCTTCGTGCCGCTGCAGCAGGTCTTGGGCCTCCTTGCGGCGGGCCTGGGCATCTGGGTCAGCTGCGGCCTGAAGCCGCTGCTTTTCAGCTGCTGCTTCCGCTTCAGCCTGTAGGCGGGCAGCCTTGGCTGCCGCCTGGCGCTGTTCCTCAACCTCGATCAGTGAGAGCTGAGCTTGGAACCTCTGTCGGTACTCGGCAATGGACTCGTTGGCCAGTTGGCCTGGCATGCCCAAAACTGAACCTGTCATGGTGTCGGGGCACTGCTGACGTTGGTACTGCTGCTGTCGTGGCACTGCTGCTGACGTGGCACTGCTGATATGGCACTGCTGCTGATGTTGCACTGCTGCTAACGTGGCACTACCAAACCCGGAATGCAGACAAAGGGCTGGGTGGGAGGGAAACGCAGGAAGGTAACCAAACTGCACTTTCCATTCCCGGTCCTAATCAACAGAATAAAAGAAAAGGAAAAAAAAAAAAGGGAAGAGGATCACCCCACCTTTTTTTTGTTTTTTTTTTTTGAAAATCTGTCGATTTGATATCAATGAGGCATTACGGAGGAGTACTATGAGCGAGATCTAGGCAAGGTTTCGCAAAATTTCGGCTTTCGAAAAAATGAGATCTTGAAAAAAATAAAATAAAATTTGTGTGAAATAGAATGGAGGTTCCACTTTCCGAGAAGAATAGATCCAGTCCGAGAATATGACAACCTCCCTAGTTCACCTAATATGCCCAGAGTGAAACAAAAAAAACGAAATGCTAATCTCCGAAGTTGCGAAAAAGAAAAAAAGAAAAAACATTTGCAGAGGTTTGACTAAGCCCTACTTGATTCACTAATAAACAATCAATCAAGCAATCAATCAATCAATCAACAATCAGTCTATCAAGCAAGCTGGCTCCTTGATTGGGCGGATCCTCTGATTGAGACGTCCGCTCCGATACCAAACTGTCGCATACCGCAACGGTACAGACCAGAACAAGAACTGACCTCTCCCACATAGTACAGGATAGCACAGTGGAAGGCTATAATACCAATGATCAGACCAATCAATGTCGCAATGCAGACCAAATATACATGATCATCATCACATGGTGTGAAGGGGCCTGGTGCTCACACAGGAAGAATGCGCCAGTCCCCAAACCATACACAGACGAAGAGGAGGGGGATCAGACGAAGAAGAGGGGGAAGATGGGAATGTCGTCAACACCAAGTCTTCGATACAGGCCCCAAATAATCCCTCGTCCAATGTCTTGATCCCAATGTCGAGTCTGAATCCAAATGTCGTCAAATCTCAAAGTCGCAAATCTCTCTCTCTCTCTCTCTCTCTCTCTCTCTCTCTCTCTCTCTCTCTCT